TCGCATCGACGTCATGGTTATTAGCTTTGTACCTATTTTATACATTTTAATACATACTATTTATTATTTATGTTTTTTTAAATTGGCAAATAATAAACAACAAAAACAGACCAAAACCTAGTGGTGCTAGAATAGCACTTTCTCACCTCTCGAATGTTTATGTAATACCGCAATTTCTGTCCATATTAACAACTCTCAGCCATCAATTCTAAAACTCATTAACAATACTAGCTCATTAAGCGTGAAAAATTAATTCGTTTAATGTAATATATAAATTCGAGAATGCAAAACTCCTTTCCATTCACCCAATGTCTCCTTAGATTTTTAATTACGTTCGCCTTCTCTTTGAACTGTTGGCTTTTAGTGGGTTTTTCTTTCAGGTCATTCTGAGAAAAACAAACTGCTTCATCGCGACGTTCTATTCTTACATTTCAACGTGAACCATATTTCATTATAACGCCCTCAAAGATTGTGGTAAAAGATGTGCGGGTAATGGTCAGATACTCACGGACTTTGAGCAATTGAAATCTCTTCGGTAAAATGAATGGACTCAACAGTATTTTCCCACAATTGTTTCATTAATTCCTAATTGCAGTAGATTAGCATTACTTGCTGCTTACTATATGAATAAACATGTGATTATCTCTTTAATAAACATCAATATGGCTAGTAGAACTTTCTTCGAAAATGATCAAATTGTCTTCCTATGTAAATTTAGAATTTTTTACCAGCCTTTCAATCTATGAATGTCTTTACTGTTCTAGGGTTACCCAATGTACTTCTAGATAGTTTTGTATTTGAGAGAGTTTTGATACCACCTTCACATTTAAATGCATTTCACCAATTTTGTACAAAATTTCATTCAGTTGTGAACAGCTTCAAAAAGTACGGCTTGGTGACTTTATACAAAAGTGTTGCCAGATTATGTTTTGTGTAAGTTGTGATTTTTAACAAATCTTAGTTAAAAAGAGTAATTTGATTGAAGAAAGTGTGCCAAAATAAAATATCAATAATAGGAAATATTTTAATTGTAAGTATCGTTGCAGATACATTACAATACATACAAACAGATTTCAAATTTAAAGAACGTAATTATTAGGTTAACAATTTTCTGCAGCTGACATTTTGTAGATATTTTCGTAATCAGGAGAAATACCTGACTTTGTTGTGTCTGAATAGTCTGTTAAAATTTTTGCAGCTTGAATCACGTTCTCATTCAATGTTTTATTTTGTGACCCGACGTTTTTCTAGTTCGATTTTCTTAATGGGTGAGTCTTGTGCCGACAAATCCAAACTGTCCGAAGAACTATCATCTTCAAGCAAAAGGAAGCCAGGACGGTACAGCAGAACAAAAGTAAAGTTCAGTTTATTTTACAAGTAGAGTGTTTGACGTATCCAAGACGCAAAGCAAACACACAACATTTCGTTAAAAAAAATGAACTGCGCGTTGCGCTCTGCGATGGCGTCGTCACCGTTAGCTCGACGACCTACTCACTCGATGATCCGACTCACCCATTGCATCTTGCGAGGAACAAATCACTCGCTTCTGTCGCTGAGATTTCTTTCGCGAGTTTTTTTCCCATTCAGATCGATTTGATTCAGAAAAAGCGGGGCGTCTGGAAACGCTGATATACAATTACACCAACTAAAACTATTGAAGGGATCAGTGGAACAAGGGGCTATCTCCTTTTTTTTGTGGAATTGAGTTATTATCATTAATGCAAACTTCTAATATTATTTTTACTGTAGTATGTTATTTAAATCTGCTATGGACTTATAAGCAAGTGTACTGTGTTTAGAGGGGCCCGCATGTTGCTGATGCTGTCGTCGAACAGGTGAGGGACTTCACTTCACTACACTACATATTTTTTTGCTTTGGATTACCTTTGAATTACACACTGACCAGAACTTCACAGCACTTCACCGCACTACACAGCACATACTTATTTAATATATTTTTCTAATTTGTTTCTAA